TGTTTGAGATGATACTGTTGTGACCATCATTTTACAGAGAAGTAGATGGAGGCCCTTCGAGGTTAAGGCGCTTGCCCTCGGTCTCATGGTCAGTAAGCAGCATAGATGGGGTTCAGACCCAGACAGACTTGAACTTGTCATTCTCTCTAAGTTATCCAAGGTCTTTTTAGTCATTTGTGTCTATGGAACCTGCAGTCCAGCTTTGCATTTGCGTATTCCTTCTTCCCTCAAATTGGTCTATGGAATCAATTCCCTGGTCCCCCATAGCTTTTATCTTGAGAGAAGCTGGTGAATTAGTAGTTCACCTCCAGGTGTCAAGGTGTCATGGGTTGCTACTTCCCTAGGCTAGAATATGACCCAGCCTCATGGCTTCTCTCCCTACGTAGGCCCAATTCTCAATACTCCCCATTTCCCTGAGAGTCCAGCTCTGGATCATTTACATGGGCATTGATTTTAAGGATACAGAGTACCTTTAAAGAAGAGTTGTGAGCAGTCACACCTCAGGAAGGGACACGACCCAGGACAGTCCTGGGGAATCTCAGGAGCAGGAATTCATGGATAGTACCTGAGGGAGGCCATTGCCATTAGGATGTCCCACTCCATCTGCCCTGTGCCCTTGTGTGGCACTGTTTTACATGCAAGGATGAGATTGCAAGGCTGGCTGTGGTTTACACCGGCATTGCTGGTTGCAACCCTGAAGCCTACAGCAGAGCAGTCCTTAAAAGGAAAGAAATTATTGTTATTTTTATTTATGTCTTGCCTACTTTTAAAAGGTCATTGAATGAATCACAGTTCTTTTGTCATATGATATGCATTCATTTTGTAATCAAGATAGTAGTTACTACGTGTGACATAAATACAGTATAATAATATGCCATCTAATGGTATTTTGTTGGTGCAGACTTAAATTTTTGTGCCATTATTCTATTTTAGTACTAGACACACCTTTGACATTTAATGGTCCTAATATGGAACCTTATGTACTATCTGTATTTTAAAAGTACTCTTGATAGTAACTATATATAATTAAGAACTTGAATGTATGTATTTTTATATTTAACTTGTAGGCCTAATAATCTGTGAGAAACACTTTAAAATTGCATGTTATACATAAATGATTTCTCAGTTATTACTTTTGTTAATGTGGCCTTAATTTCCTTCCAGATACCTTAATGAAAGAATGTAATGATAATGGCAATGATGATAAAAACAATAATATTTAAAACCCCATCAACTTCCTCCTTCCAAATTCGATCTATGAAATGTTGACAACAAAATTCTTCTCAATTCTAATTTCAACTGGTTTGTATCTATATTTGTTTCACTGTAAATAATCAGTCCCCAAATCTTTAAAACAGAATTTTAGTTGGTGTTGATATTGAGCATTATGTATAATCTCTGAGATCAGGTGCTGGCATAGATGTTCTAAGGGCGTGGTGTGATACAGGAGGTCAGGGACCTGCCAGGTAGCTTATACCAGTTGTCACATTGCATTGATCTGATTCATGGTGACCCCGTTTGCGTCAGAATAGAACTGTGCTCTATAGGGTTTTCAATAGCTGATTTTTTGGAAGTCGATTGCCAGGCCTTTATTTCTGGGTGGACTTGAACCGCCAGCCTTTAAGTTGGCAGCTGGCACATTAACTGTCCCACCCAGGGACTCCAAGTTCTTCAAAGCTAGCATATAATTAATTGTTTTTAACCAATATGAGAATCAATTTACATTATATTTATTGTAACAGCGGAGTTTGTCATCTCCTTTTATTCTTTCTGCTTTACATTATCTTGCTGGCTCGCTCTTTCTTTTGCTATCTGAATGAAGAGCTTTCTTTGCCCGTACATATGAATGACCCCTTGGCTAGGTTAGAACCCTGAACATTCCTCCATTGTCTTTCGACATTGAATACTAAGAAGAGGTAGGACGCTAAACCTTTTTCTCCTTTTGCAAATGGTTTACTATTTTGTTTTGATTTTTGGCTGGCTGCTTGTGATGCTTTTTCTGTCCTTAAAATGTAAAAATTTCACTGGGATACCTATGAATGTTTTTCTTCTGTTATTATGATTTGGGGGCGGGGGGGTTACTCAATCTTCTACTCATCTTTTTTAGCCTGAAAATATGTACAAAAAGGTTCCACTGTACTCTTCAACTTTGCTATTACTTTATTTTATATCTACTATATCCTTTTACTGTGTCCGTTTGTTCTGCCCATATGGGAGATGTGTACTTTTTATTCTTTCTCATTATTGCCTCTCTCTCTGTGTGAAATCGGCGAGGTGTCTTCAGGCATCACTGACATAGAGTGTGGAGATCCGTAGTAGCTAAGTGGGATCCCAGCAGTATTGCCCCATTAGCCTTATAGCCTGCTTCTTCCCTTCCCAAAACAGTCAGGTTTGGGGCCTTGGCCATTTAGCACCTATCAGGAAAATAACACCCCACCCCCATACACACACACACCTGCCTGATTTTCTACTTGATTTAGTTACATGGGAAACCAGGAGCTTTTAGATATGCTGTCAAAGGCTGTTGCTTAGTAGGGGCTCAGTGCCCATTCCCTTCTCTGGCCGTCATCCTTCTAAACCAAGGAACAAGCATGGGGTCCTTGCAGAGGCTCCTTCACTTATTTCCCACTGATGCTGCACTTTTTTAGGGAAAACAAACCAACCCATAGCCATTGAGTCGATTCTGACTCATAGCGACCCTATAGGACAGAGTAGAACTGCCCCATAGGATTTCCAAGGAGCAGCTGGTGGATTCGAACTGCTGACCTTTTGGTTAACAGCCAAACGCTTAACCACTGCACCACTAGAGCTCCTTTTTTAGGACAGGAAATCAAAATAAGATGCCTTAGCTTACTTCAATCTGTATCCCATCCGTGGTCCTTATTTCCAGTTTCTAACTGGGTTGTAAGGGCCCCTCCCTTGTTTTTAAAATCATTTGATGGATGCAGGAAGGGGATGTTAGGTATCAATGTTGTGATCTCATCCAAGTCTGTACCAAAACCAAAAACCAAACCCGTTACTATCAAATTGATTCTAACTCATGACATAGAACTGCTCCATAGGGTTTTCCTGGTCATAATCTTTACGGAAGCAGAACACCAGGCCTTTCTTTTGCAGCTCCACTGGGAGTTTGAACTGCCACCCTTTCGTTAGTACCTGAGTGCAAACTGTTTGTGCCACCCAGGGACCTCATCCAAGTCTATAACCTTTATTAAAAAGATAGATAGATAGCTTTATTGATAAAAAGAAACAAAATAAATCAACAAGTATCTCATTTGAACCTTCGCTTTGGCTGTTTGACAAGCATAATGCTCACTTTTCCTCGTTTGCTTCATTGTGTCTCTCTGATCTCAATGCTCAGGATATACCTTTTCTAAGAATTCGCTAACTCAGATGCAATTTCAAGCCCCTTCTTTATCAAAGTAAACTGTGATAACACAAGGGTCAGGTGTTGAAATCAGACTCACAAGAATCAGAGATCTAACTCAGTATCAAGTGTTGCTAATAAGTTCAAGGGTACAAGTAATTGCAAGGCAGGGATGAGCGAGAGAGGTCTAGGACTGTGAGTGCCACTCACCAGATCCTTTCTTGCTGCATTAGAGTGTGTTCCGAGCCTAGTGTAACGGGCAAGGTCTCTGAGGGTTCTACGCAGTCACGTCCCTTCCACAAAGAGGAGCTGATTCATCATGGACGATTTCCATTTTATACTCTGATAGCTGCATACCTTATATGATGTTTTCCAGGGAGCCCTATCCTGTAAATCCATAGGCTTCAAGATCTGTTTTCAAAACCCATCAAAACAGACTAGGTACACTTTGCTGAAAGCATTCCATAGCAGGACTCTCTCCTGCTAGCATTAGCCAAGAAGTCTGTCATTTTTATGTTTATAAGTCATAAATCCCTGACTATATAATTTGTGCTGGCTTATTTAAATAAAAGAATATATGGATGATAGACCCCCATCCTCCAAGTTCTCCCTCGTAAAGCAAGAAAAGGAATTCTAGGCCTCCTGATAAGCATTTTCTTCCCATAAACCTATCGACTTGGTCTACTTTGTTACGCTTCTGCTAATGTCAGTTATTAGATTTGAGCACATCATTGATATGTCTACTTCTTTAGACAAGAAAGTAGAACCAAGTGAACTGAACGTAGTTTCTTGTTTTAATGCACAAGGATTGATCCTAGAAATAACATGCTGATAATATCAAGTAAAATATCTGAATAGATTTTATATGTCTATACCTATTATTTTGGCTGAATTATTTTTTAAATAAAAGAATGTATGGATGATAGACTCCATCCTATGGGTTACAAAGCATTACAAAGATCCTTTCAACCAAATGTTAAAGATAGTGGAATTAGCCTGTTATTAATCAATAGTCTTTTAATCTCCTCTTTTGGCATTAATTATTGATCTTACCTGTGGTATCCTTATATTAACTTTCTCTTATCCTTTATGTTATGTTTAATGCACATACACAATCAGATGAATATGACAGCACTGGTGGTTCAGTGGTAGAATTCTTACCTTCCATGTGGGTTCGATTCTCCGTCAGGGCATCTCATGTTCGGCCACCACCCATCAGTGCAGGCTTACGTGTTGCCATGATGCTGAACAGGTTTCAGCAGAGCTTCTAGCCTAAGATGGAGTAGGAAGAAAGGACTGGAGATCTACTTCCAAAAATCAGCCAGTGAAAACTCTATGAACCATCACAATGGTCCAATCTGCAACCCATCATGGAGATGGCACGCAACTGGGCAGCGTTTTGTTCCATTGTGGTGGGGTCACCACGAGCCAGGGGCTGACTCAATGGCAGCTAACAACCACAACAACAATAGATGAATCGCTTCCTAAAATTTTAAAGGGCACGTCATGGAGACACTCAACTATAAGGCAAACTAAGCCCGGCAATCATCTGATCATTACTATTTTCACCTCCTTTACATCCAGAGACATCCTGAGGTCCAGACATGAGTCTCTGTGTTTCCTTTGTTCCCAGGGAGGATGAGCATGCCCTCATCCAGCAGTACTGTCAGACGCTCGGAGGAGAGTCCCCCATGAGCCAGCCTCAGAGCCCTGCGCAGATCCTGAAGTCGGTAGAAAGGGAAGAACGAGGAGAACTGGAGCGGATCATTGCTGACTTGGAGGAAGAACAAAGGTATGCTAAACCTGGAAGAATAAAATATGTCTTCCTGGAAAAGCTTCTTAATGAAATGTCTCTAATATTCACTTCAACATGACCCCTACCTATTCCCTTTTTGGAATGACTGTCTAAGGACTGTGGTGGGGTCAGAGTTGTAGGGAACATGAATGAGCTGGGGTGTAGGCTGCAGATTATAGTGGCATTTGGGGGTTCACTGATAATGCCTATTAAAGCTTAAAGCTATGATTCTGTTCCCGCTTGGACGTCTGACTGTTAGTAAATGCTCATACTTAAGCGGAAATAACTAGCATGAGCTAAATTTGGATCCCATAGACATACAGTGAAACCTGTGAGAGCTGGAACTCAACAGGACTGCCTTGTTTTTCCAGGTCTCGCAAGTTTTCTGCCTTTTACAAGGTGCAGTCTTACCACTTTTCTATGGCTCATTTTCGTGGAAAATATTTCAGTTTTCCCTCTCTGGCAGGTTTCCATCTTACACAGGTTCTGGCTTTCGCAGGTTTTTCTGTGCTTGGATGAGTTCTTGGGTGGCTCAGACCATTAAGGGCTCTACTCCTAACCAAAAGATTGGCAGTTTGAAACCACCCAGAGGTGCCTTGGAATACAGGCCTGTAGACTTGCTTCCAGAAGGTCACAGCGTTGAAAACCCTCTGGAACACTGTTCTACTCTGCTTACATGAGGTCGTCACGAGTCAGAATTGACTTGACGGCAACTAACAGCAACACACGCATTTGGAGAGAAGACAGTGGACACAATATTAATTCTGGTTTTTTCCTTTTATACATTAGGAATCTGCAGGTGGAATATGAACAGCTGAAGGAGCAGCACCTTAAAAGAGGGCTCCCTGTCAGTTCACCCCCAGACTCTGTTGTATCTCCCCATCACACGTCTGAGGATTCAGAACTCATAGCAGAAGCAAAGCTCCTCCGGCAGCACAAAGGTCGGCTGGAGGCGAGGATGCAGATTTTAGAAGATCACAACAAACAGCTGGAGTCTCAGCTCCACCGACTTCGACAGCTGCTGGAGCAGGTAGGATGTGCAGAATACAGCGCCCTATTCCCCACGCTGCCTGTACCAGAGGCTTGGTCTGGGTGTCAGGAGACAGGTCCACCTTACATTTCTCAGCCTTTTAAAATGTGCACATTCAATCCTGAATGGCACAAAAATGTGTTTATTAATGATAAGGATTTTTTTTATTTTATCGTGCCTTTGGTGAAACTTTACGGCACAGATTAGTTTCTCATTCAAAAATGTATACACACATTGTTTTGTGACATTGGTTGCAGTCCCCACATTGTGTCAGCATGGTGGTGAGGATATTTTAAGATAGAAGCTTCCATTCTTCTTTAACACTCAAAGCTATCTTAGCTCTGAAGAGTTTGAGGAAAAAGATCCTATAACATACATCTGCAGGAATTACATATAGGGTACATCTGTGGAACTTAAAGGGATGGAAGCCACCAGAAGGCTTCATTCTAAATCCTGTCTTACTGTGAGCTAAGAACACTGACTCCAGGAACCCTGCTTTCTGTCTTCAAGAAATTAAGTGACAGATGTTTATTAATTTGCTACCACTAATTCCTAACATTGGAGCCCTGATGGTGAAGTGGTTAAGAGCTCAGCTGCCAACCAAAAGGTCAGCAGTTCGAATCCACCAGCCACTCCTTGGAAACCCCATGGAGCACTTCTACTCTGTCCTATAGGGTCGCTATGAGTCGGAATCCCCTCAACGGCAACGAGATTTTTTTGTTTTGTTTTGTTTTTTTAATTCCTAACACTGAGCCGTGTTTTATAGCAGTTGCTTTCAAACTTTCATGACAATAAGTAATACAGTTTACAATATGATAAATACATACATGTATGTTAAATACAAAACAATTCTCGCCCTTAGAGAAGGATGCTGTCTCTTATTTTCTATTCTTTTTCCTTTCTTCGGTCTTTCCCTCCCTTTTTCTTTCATCTGTCTCTCTTACTTTATACTGCTTAGGACCTACTAAATTGATTTTATAATTTACCAATGGGTTATAGCCTATAGTTTTCAAAATGTGTCCTCTAGCATATCAAAGGGACATCAGAAACAGTTCCTGCCTTTCTGGTGCCTGCAGTCTTGCTAGGGACCAAAGAAGGACATGAGCAAGACAGTATCTTATATAAAGACACAATGCACCATAGGAAATGACGTACTTGATTACACTGAGCAGTCAGAGAACAGGAGTCTGTCAGAGAACTAGTCATGACGATGCATTTGTAGCACGTATAAGTAGTGCAGAACCTAAGCTGCAGGTACAGTAACCCCAGCAAAAGGGCCTCGAACTTTTTCTCTCTCGAAAAGTCCCTGACTTCAGCCTTCATGTCATCTATTGCCTTTCTCTCTGCCTGTGCAATGTGGCACCCCTAGGCAGTGTAGCAGGAATGTCTTTCTCCAGAATTATTTATTGAATCAAAGTCAGAAACAACTTTCCCTCCAAGGATTTTTTCATCTTTTAGAAAACCAGCCCTTCACAGTCACTATCAGTGTCCTTTAACTGGTCGGAATCATTGAAAACATTGTCATTTCTGCAGCATCTACCCTGTGGGCCATAGGTGTGACCATATACTTTTCTATATGTCTATCATCATCTCAGAGTTGCTCTGTTTTGGGGAAGGGCTACTTCAGGGCCTCCAAAGTTTACGTCATTAAACAATAATGGGATAATAGTTCTCTAAGCGTTGTCCAAGCCCCAGCTTCCTATAAGTCCCCAGAATGTTCAATTCTTACATCAGTGCCAGCCATATGACATTGAAGATATTACATTGTTAGTTTTTGTGACTTCGAAGGTTCTGAATGGTACCTGTGTAAGGGATTAATTTTCCCTTAAAATCTCTTGTTTAGAATATGAAGTGTTAGTGTTAACAACCTGGTACAGAGATAGAATTGCTGAGGAAAGAAGCTAAGTTTTGTTTGGCATCGGTTGTTGATGTTCTTCAGAGAGCTAAAGGTCCTTCTCTCGCTCTTACCTCCCACTCTCTCTATCCCATTAGGCAGCGCTACCTAATGGCTCATGTGCCTTCTGAATCACCCAGTAATGCTTTTAGAGACAGCTGATATCTAAATGGCTCTGTGTATCCCAGACTCTAGAGCTCTTATCTCCTCTTAATGATTTAGCCTGAATGCCAGAAGTAGATGGAAAATTCAACTCTGGTAGTAAAAACTGGCAAAAACTACCAGACTTCAACTAACATAGATTTAATGGGAAAATCTGCATCAGAAACCTTGTAATTTTTGCATTCCTTAAACAATGAATTGTACTTTCTAATTTGATCATATACTCGTCAATGTATGCGTCGCCATTTCAAAGATTTGTTCCAGAGTGCATTTACAAAGCGCTTACCAGGTGTCGGGCTATTCCAATCGCTTTAGGAATACTAATTCATTACCTCCCTCACAAAGTCCTGTGAGAACGGGTACTATTATCATCATCCCCATTTTATAGATAAAGAATCCGAGACACAGAAGGTTAAATGGTTTGCTCAGAATTACACCATTTCTGGGTGGCAGAGTTGGAATTTGAATCCAAGCAATCTGAATCCAAAATCATGCTCTTAACTACTCTCCACTATTGCCTTCAAATATGGGCTGTGATTTTGAAACTGGATACGTTTACTACATTAGAATAGGTCCCTGGGTGGTGTGAGTGGTTTGCACTTGTCAACTAAGCTAAAGGTTGACAGTTTGAACCTACCCAGTGGTGCCACAGAATAGAGGCCTGGCAACTTGCTTCTGTAAAGATTTCGGCAGTTGTATTCTCTAACACATGGGGTTGCTAGGAGTCAGAATCAACTCAATAGCAAGCGGTACTGTATTAGAGACTGGGCTGATATTTTTAAGATTGATATAACGTGTTTGTAAATGAAATTGACATTGACAAATACAGCTGGCATTATAACCAGCAAATCCTTCAAAGGGCTTAGGTGAAAGGAGAGGGCCATTTGGTACTAGTACATCCATCCAACTGATGTTAAACTGTATTTAAAAATGTCAGAAAGCAAACAACTACATGATTTAATCACACATGGTGGGGAAGGTGAAGTTAACAAGGCAGTGATTTCCCTAATAGTTATTTGAACCGTTGCTCTGCTTTATCCTCTGAATGTGACTGCAGCCTGAATCTGATCCCCGAATCAATGGCGTCTCCCCCTGGGCTTCCCCTCAGCATTCTGCACTGAGCTACTCGCTTGATCCGGATCCTGGCCCACAGTTCCAGCAGGCAGGTCAGTGTCCCCAGGCACAGCGGCTCCAGTCCCATCTGTGGTCTGCCATTTGTTTTTTATCATAAAGAGCATTCTTACGCACTGGCACCTTAGAGCATAAAGGAGTTTTATTTTCTCTTTGGTCTCAAATAAATACAAATCCATCTGAGCAATATAAAATTTTAGAATAATTAGCTATAACACAACTTGCTTATAATATGTAGTAGTGGATTGACTTTTAGTGAAAAGAAGAAAAAACTACACTTTCTTTTGGGATGAGTCAGAGTCTTTAATTTTTTTATTTGCCTTAAGACTGAGTCTCTTTTTAATAATTTATTTTATGGCTCTAACATTTAATATTTGTACATATTTGGAATATAATACAAAAGACAGTTATACAACATATTGTCATATTGTGGATCTGTGAACTCTTTAGTCCGTTTGCTCCATCCACGTCCCTGCAAACGTTGCTGCCCTCTCCAGCCCCCCTCTAAGGCAGAGGTCCCACCCAGACTGTCATCAGTCACAGTGGGGACCTGTCATTGCTGCATTGAAAGTCTCTGTACCGGGCACTCAGAAGTGACATTTTGTTACTGATGAAATTCAAGTTCTAGAATTCTACTGTGGGCCATATACTTTAACCAACTTAATTTGTTTGTGAGATATTTTTTAATACATGAATCAGAAGAACCAAACTATTAATATTATTGCAATAATTTTTTAAATGAGAAAATTGTTTAACTATTCCTTTTAGGAAAACACACACACGCGCACACCTAAGTAAAAAAGTATGTTAAGATAGCTTGACTTTTATGGCAGGTTAAGCTAGTCTGTGCTGAAGGCTCCAAAGAGAAAGAAGGAAGAAAAAGGGAATTGATGATAGAATGTTTTTCTCATATGAAAAAAGTTATTTGAAATGTGAAATAACAGATTTCCAATGAATAAACTGAAATGATGTAACTGCATGACTTACTTTTCATGCTTGTATATTCCCCTTGTCCATGGATTCTTTCTACTCAAACATCCAGCACATTTTAATTACATAAAATTGATATTACCAACAAATGAACATGAATTTTTTCTTTTTCATTTCTCCCTAAAGTTGTCATTTTCAATGAGAGATATTTTCACATTGATATGTGGTAGTAGTATTTTCTCCTGAAGTTGGTTTTATTAGGAAGCTGGACATTGATTTCAGGATGTGTGTTGTTTTTTGCTCTTGCTGTCACAGCGGCTGAGGACTTGTTGGCGCCACCTCATGAAACCAGCACAGACCTCACTGAGGTCATGGAGCAGATCAACAGTACATTTCCATCTTGCTGTAGTGAGTACGAAAGATCATAAGCCCACCGCTATGCTTTTTCTTTCTTTTTTTCTTTTCCTGCATGGTATACTTTGCCTTCTTTGGTAAGATAACAAAAACGTCTATTAGAAATAGGCTTGAATATTATTTGAAAATAAGTCAAACCTTATATGTGTTAACAAAGAAAATGAAGCTTAACTGAGATACCATCACTTCACTGGGACACAGTGACACTGTGATCCTGCTCTTTGAGATTTTCATGAGTGACAGAAATGCCTTATGAGTGACAAAATGAAGGCAGTTGAAATAATAAGTCTGTTTTTAAAAAGCAATGATCCTCCTCAATGCAAGCTACACTAAGAAAAGCGTATTATTTCAAAGAAGAGCGTTTAGTGGCATGCCAAATAAGGCATGAAAATAGCCTTTTCTAATGTAATTCCCTCTCTTTTCTTCAGATATTATTACCTGATGTCATCAGATTCAGTTGCAGAAAGGGGTTATTTCCAGATTTTCCTTTTTTTCCCTAATGGTTTCTTTTCTCGTGAAATGAGATAGTCATTGTAGAAAGGCCAAACAATTTAAGGCATCACACATTATGACCCTGTGAATTTTCCATATGAACAAACGAGAGCCAGAAAATACCCAAATAAAAACAGTCCAAATCCAAGGGGGAAATTATATCATGATTCTTGTGTATTGATATTTTTTCAAACATTTGGTCCTGAGTATCTTGCTGTCTTGTAATTTCTGCTGAAATTACCTAAAATACTTCTGCTATTTCAAACAGACACAGTTTACTTTTGTATACATGCACACTACTTAATGCCACAATTATATTTTAAATAATCTCTTAAAGAATGTGAAGGTATTATTTATAATTTTAGGGTGATTTCCTCTCAAACTGATTTTAAATCTAAGCAGTGGTGAAAGCACTGGACTGCTAACCAGAAGGTCAGTGGTTTGAAACCACCAGTGGCTCAACAGGAGAAAGACATCACAGCCTGCTTCTGTAGAGATTTACAGCCTTGGAAACCTTATGGGGTTGCTTTGAGTCGAAACTGACTCGATAGCAGTGGGTTTGGTTTTTTTGGTTTTATGTATCATATAAAACCAAACCAAGCCTGTTGCTGTCAAGTTGATTCTGACTCATAGTGACCCTATAGGACAGAGTAAAACTGCCTCATAACATTTCCAAGGAGCGGCTGGGGGATTTGAACTGCCAAGCTTTTTTGGCTATCGGCCGAACCCTTAACCACTATGCCACTAGGGCTCCATGTATCATATATCATATACATATATAAGGTCCCTAGGTGGGACAAATGGTTTGCACTTGACTACTAACTGAAATGTTGGCAGTTCAGATCCACCCAGCAGTGTAGAAGAAAGGCCTAGTGATCTGCTTCCCTACAGATCACAGCTGAGAAAACCCTGTGGACTAGTTCTACTCTGTACAACGTGAGGTCGCCATGAGTTGAAATTGACTCAACGGTAATGAGCTTTTGTTTGTGTGTGTGTGTGTTATACACGGCCACTCATCTCACCTTTTTCCATTCTCTCCTCATAAAATACCATCCTAAATGAGGAAAAAGATATCAGGGAGTGTAGATATATTGACTTCATTAAAAATTATCCTTTATTGTACGTTACTGTACAGTTTACAAAATGCCGTCATTAACAAGAAGTGAAAATAACTATTTAAAATATATTCATCTCTGAATTTTTGGAAATATTTGCCTATGGATCTATTGTAGTTTCCAGAAGGACATAAATATAAGTATTTATATTTATGAATATGTCATTTTCTAGATTATTATTTGTAATTCAGCTATTCTGCTTCTTAGAGTTTGCTGAATCTTATTTCCTGTGTGTCAATCCCCACGGTCACCCCCTAAAAAATGAATGTGTACGTGTGCACACACATACACACATGCACACTTTTTTGGCCCTAGAGCGTCTCACGAAAGCTTATGAGGGTTAATCTAAGCCCACATGTTGTTGGATTATTTTCTAGGCTCTGTAATCTCCATAATAGATGAACAGATTTAAATCCCTTCTATCAACTATATTTCAAAGTTGAATTTTTTTTAAGGGTTGTGGTTCTGACTTGTATGTTATTTAATGGCTAGATAAAAACCTCATCATAGTATTTGTAAGTCAGAGTTTCAAAATGAAATTTCTACATAAAGTTACGTTTTAGTTCAGTTCACACCAAAATACATGAATAATTAGTTAAGAACAAATTCTGTAAGTCAAAGTCCATTTAGAAGCCTTTATTTAAATGTCATGGTGGACATTTTCAATTTAAAAGTCAGTTGGCAGTGAATGCTAGGATGGGAAATATGTTGAAATATATGCCTTGTAGTGAATATAAAATGTATAATTTCCATATTAAAATTTTTACACTAAAAGTTCAGGATGTGTCTTTTTTTTACAAGGTCAGTTTTCTAAAGCAGTTACTCAAATCTTTCTCAAGGCATATTCTGATATCGAGACATTGTAAAAGACTGATCTATGTGATGTTTTAAAAGAGAATGTAATTTAAAACTTAAATTATAATTATAGGACAAAAGGAATTTTAAGAGGTAAGTTCGATCATCTCATTTATAGCCTCTCTTTGAAGGCAAGTGTAAAATTCCTGTTGGTAGGAAATCTTATTAGCTATTAATGTATATGAGTATATACCTTAAACGGGACGCACAGCTCAGAGGTTTAACCTCTTGCTTGCATTGCTGCTGCCTTCACCTGTGTCATTCTCAGTTGGGAGAGTGGGGTATGGAACCCAGAGATTCCTCGGTGAGAACCTGGCTTTGTGTTCTCATAGTCTGATGTTTTTACATTCACAGATATTGATAATATTTATAGTTTTGTGTGTATGAGCTTTATTAGCCACGTGTTAGTCTGAAGAGCTCAAGTTCTGTTATTACTTTGCCCAACATGGTATTTATAGTCCATGTTTTGTTTTGATAATATAAAAATCCCCAAGATAGAGACAGTTTCCATGAAAATAAGGGGCTTAATTTATAAAATTGACACTTGTTATTAAATGCCCCTTAAAAACATTAAATCTTTTAAATTCGGTGCAGAGTAGAAGTGAGCACCTGACATAGAGTTGGTGCCCAATGCACGTTCCTGAACTGAATGAATGGTTACATTTTCTAATTGGGAAGACTTGGTTGTTGAAGCTTTCCCAGATAGTATTCAGAAGGTTCTGTAGAATTCATTTGTTTTGCTGCCCCTTTTAAGTTGCTCAGCTAGCAGGTATTTTTAATAAGCCTTTCACATTCGCAAAGCTTACTGAGCACCTTTGGAGGATTTATCTGAGCAAATCGGATTGGCACCTTCCCAATGCGAAGCCAATCCCTTGAGCCCCTGTAACTAATGAGAACTTTAAAATTACTTGTCACCAGCAGACAATGAATTGATCTGCACATTAATCTTGACTTTTGACCCGTTGTGGATTAAAACTTAGCATGGCCGCAGTGAATCGCCACTCCTGGCAATCTTGGAATTAAAATGAAGCTATTCGTAAATCCTAATTGCACGAATTGCCTACTTAAACGTGGCATTTTTTTCACAGTGTCTAAATATTTTGCACATAACTTTTTTTTTTATGCCTCCGTCTTGAAGTAATATCCCAGTTGGCCCTGATTGCATCCTTGAATTATAGCCTTTTAAAGTCTTCTTTTAGTTATTTATGTTGAGTTTCAGAGCAGAGAGGTATTTCCATCTCTTCCTGACAAAGAGTTAATGAAGGGAATGTAATTATACTCCTGTTAACCAATATACCTGCTACCATTTCCACTGACTACTGGAATCTTTTTTTTTTTTAATTGTAAAATATTCTGTCAGTTTTTTCATATGTACCATTCAAATGTACAGGATTCTAGTAATAAGCTGGGTATTTTTTTTCCTAATAGACCAAATTATCTTGGACCCCCAGCCTTGTTTTCACTGTGAATTAGCTATGTTTATTAAATTTGAGTGATAGCTATCTAAAACTGAAAACATAATACAATGCAATAATTTCCTGATTTACTTTTAAAATATATGATTTGTTCAGGGCAGTACCCATAGCCTTGTATTTGATAAAAAGCTGTAGGTTTAAAATGTTGGTTTGGAGCAAGAGGGATTAAACTTCTATCTAGGATTTGGCTATTTGTTATATTTGTTACTTACGATAGAAGCGTAACTGTCTCTTTTATAAAAAGAGTGTAAACCCATGGTATAGTGAATAATAATGCAACTAAGCTGCTTTGCACACCTGGTAGCAGTAGGCTTGTTTTAGCCTGATTTTTCCCCGAATACTGGGGCACACACTTTCTCTCCAGACATTGTAGGAAGGTCACCTTTCACACCTTTTCTTTCTTTCTCACAAAGCTTCAGGCAGCCACTGTGTGGTCACTGGTGTCTTTTTTTTTTTACCCCCAAGATAAAAAATGGGACATGAAATGGGTACAACATTCAACATGACTAAGGATTATTCATATTTGACCCAGAACAGATACTGCCATTATTGTGGGGCAGAACTCTTTTTTTTCCCCCTAAATTGAGCACAAGACAATCGTTTTAGGAGTATGCAGTGAAAGGAGGAGATGAAAAAGCGAGCCTTGGAGGAGAGATTTGGTAGTTGCTGTCCTGGAGAGGTTTATCAGGATGGCTTGCCTGTCCCTGGGCACTGGGACCAGGAAGGAATCAGCTACACTGGTGCAAAGGCAAATTAGACACCTGACTTCTTCGATCCTGCCCCAGGCACTAGTATTAACCTAAGTGCCCAAAAGACTGCTTAAGATTAGACCAACCATGTCCTTGATGGAGGGGGTCCCTGGGTGGTGCAAACGGTTAACACACTCGCCTGCTAACCAAAAGGTTGGCAGTTCGAGTCCACCCAGAGGCACCTCAGAAGAAAAATCTGGCAATCTACTTCCGAAAAATCAGCCATTGAAAGCCCTGTGGGGCACAGTTCTACTCTGACACACATGGGTCACCATGAGTCAGATCAACTCGACAGCAACTGGTTTCCTTGATGCAAGCTTGGCTCCATCTTCCCAATCTTTGGGACAAGGGTGACAGAAACTAAAGACTCACACCCCTTTGTTTTCCTAATGGCAACTGGTCAGAATTTGTACTATTTAGTAAAATCTACAGAACTTCAACAAAATAGACATGGTAAGATTTAAATATGACATTTTGATGTATTTTTGCAAAACTGCTCACTGAATGCTTTAGTGTGTGTTTATTTGAAAGAGACAGCATACGTTTTACATATTTTGGTAGAATTTTTGTATCTTAAAGCACATGGGATATGAGAAATCTAGCGTTTGTTAAAGCATTATTACCTGTACCTCCTCCCCGCTAAAAATTTCTTATTAGCTTCCATTTAACAGCTGGGCTATTATCTTACTCTGAGTGGAGTGGTTCATTCCACACTTTTGCACCCCTGAAAACATATAACCAGCAAAGCAACAATACATCCTTCAATTGATTTCTTTTGTTTTCTCTTTCAGCAAATCTCCCCAGCAGGCCACAGGTAAGACTGAATGAGTTGACTGACTCGAATGTTGCTGATCATAACCTTGACTAAACAGATTAGCTACCATTGATTTTACAGCTGCTTTATTCTCCACATCAATAAAAAAACCGCCTTGACATTAAAATGCTAGTTGATTCAGTACAAGTTTCTCAGTCTAGGGAGGGGTCCTTTCAAAGCCAGTTCTTCCAGATGCCAAAAATACCATGTACTTGATCCTTTGTGTTTTAACATCTTTTTAATGGCATTATATATGCTGTGCATGGGATCAAACATACCAAAGACCACAAACATGGCACAGGACCAGGCAACGTTTTGCTCTGTCACACATAAGGTCACCAGGAGTCAGCAACTAACAACAACAGATACTGTGCAGAGTACCCAGGATAAATATGGCCAGCCACTATTCTCCCAAGTACCTACCTGAAGTAACTAGCACAGAAAATTGACTTTAAAAAATTAACTGGTACCACAAACATGGTTTTATTACTTGTACGGGGAGAAAAAGCTTCAATTTTGTATTTAAAGATTTGTTGAGAACTGTTGACAGCTATACCCTTGTGACGCTCAGTATTTTCCTTATCAGTTACTCTTAGTAATAGCGTGTCACAAAGCTGTAGGAGATCTTTGGAGAACACTTTCTTTGGTGAACTTGATTATTAATCTTTTTTTGAAACAGTGAATCTTCTGAGTCAAATTGTCTTATTGGCAAGGGGGCCCAGGATCTTAACGAGAAGCACAGGCAACCCATCTTTAGTAACACAAGGGAAGGCAAGGGTGTATGAAGTAGACTGTGGATGTGGTGGTGAGTTTCTTCATAGTGGATCTAGGGAAGCTAGGACTTCAGCAGGGAGTGAGGCTCTAGAGGAGGTGTCAGAGGTGTGACGAGAGACTGGATGACATGCAATGGATGCTTGTAGATTAGGAGAGCAGATGGACTGGGGAAATAGAGTGAGATGACCAGGCAGCATTAATGGCCCACGTAAGGTGCTTGCTCATGAGTTTAATGTGAGACCGGTCTGCAGGGCTGTGTCTTGCTCTCTGGCCACATTCAACTGCATGAGTACAGGTACCGGAGTAGGCTGAGTATTGGATTTACCAGAGTTGAGGTTGTGGTTTTGGCCAAGTGAGTGCAGCAGTTCAGGGGAGGAACCAAGAGAGTTGAGGAAAGAGGCAGGAGAGTGATTTTAATGATTGACCCAGGCATTTAAACTGGGTGGTGAGAGGAGTGAAAACATTTCTGCTATGAGAGGTAGAAAAAGAGATGGTGGGATCAGTGGATTGTAATATCATCAGTTGATCAGTGGATATAAGCTGGAAAGATAGAAGTGGTTGTCAGAAGGTGGGATGGTTGAAATTGAAATGATGGAGGGGTTGCAAGTATTAGTAATCATCCCTAAGGAGAATGGAGGGCAGGATCATTGGAGGAGAGGAGTTAAGGAACCAAGAGACCAGAGAGCTGGAAGAATCATCCACATTGAAATCACTAAGATTTAAAAATAGCTTTAAAGTGGGTCGACAGTCCATGATGGTGAGCCGTTTCTTCTTTAAGAAATGAGGGAACATGACCCAAGGGGTCAGTTGGTAACTGCATCAAGGAGGGGTAGTGGGCAGTATTATCTGATGATCTAAGACTCAAAGCTGGGCATTTTTAGGGAGGAGAGAGGGAAAATGCCCTGGAAGTTGCAGTGAGAGATTAGGAAGAGGCTTAACCAGTGGATGAGGAGTGTGGGAGAAAAGCAGCCCTATGTGAGAGGTTATGGGGGAAACAGATGTTGAGATGCAGATGTTGGTTAGAGCAAGCAAGTAAAGGAAGACTTCAGCAGAACATTTGAAGATATGGGTTTTATAATGAAGGACCATATGATCCGTAGGGCACAGGGGAAGTCTTTCGAGAATTAGGACATGGGGACAGAATGAGGGATGTACAAGATCTCTATAGGAACAGGGTGTGGAAGGTAAAGGGTAACTGGGAGTCTGGAGCAGTTTATGATGGCCCATTGAAAACAAGAATAAAGGGCATGATGAGCTTAGTCCTGAGGGTCACCAGGTGAAGGCAAGCCTGTGAATGATGGGGCCAGAGAAGGGATAAGAAAAACTGCTTTTAAATTCTCAAACACTTCACAAACAAGTGGTTAGAACTTAAAACTGAAAGTAATCTTAGAGACCTCTCCCTCCTACTTTGTGTTTAGATTTGAAGAAATGGAGTTTAAAAAGAGCTAAATATATAGCTACTTAGTGGATGGAACAAACATCCGACTCACTGCAGGAGGCCCCTTTCTCCTCTTCCTCTTCTCTCTCCATCCCTTTTCTCTTTCTTTTCTTTCCCCTATAGTATGTCCCTTTTCTTTCCCTCAAAGCTGATCATGTGTTTTCTATCCCTTGAGTCCCGTGGAAATTCATGAAGAGTATATATTCCCCTGGATACTTTGCGTAGTCTCATATTTTTAGAATTCTGACACCTAAAATGAGAATTTGTGTGCCCTATTTCATCAGTACATCCAATTCTCAAGGGTGATAGAACACATAGAAATACTTTTTAAAAAATCCATTTAGTCTTTATTTTTTACATGAATTGGCACCAAGTCTTTTTTATTTTTTTACAGATATTAATATGTAACAACATGTTCCTTTCCCAGGTAGAATTAATTTCTCGTTTCTCTGTTCCCAAAGTACTTTGAACTGACTTTGGTTGGCCTTTTCTCATACAGCGTTGAATATGGGAGTGCATTGTTGAGATGTCTTTCATACCTCAGTACCCAGTAGTCCAGCACAATGCCTGGACCCCAGTGGGCATACCATCAATGCTTGTTGAGTTCTTGCTCCCTTTAACATGGCAGCAAAATGTTCAAAATCTAGAAGCAAGTTTCTGAAGAATACAAATTTGAATAGTAATGGCAAATGGAGAATAGGGGCTACGTGAGACTCAACATGAATTTGCTTCCTCTGGAAGACTTGGGAGGAAAATGGGCCCCTTGGGCAGCTTTTCCAAATAGTAGGAACACATTTCCAGGGGTGAGTAGGGCTTCATGCCAAATCCTCCACAACCTAAGGGGCAAGGACAGAGACAGTGTCTTTCCTGGGAGTCCTGAATAGCCTCTCCTAATTTATGAGGTGTGACCTGGTTTGGATTACTTTTTAATGATTTTAAAAAATATTTCCAACTCCAGAATACTTCTAAATGATCAACTATTTGACCTTCCCTTTGAAAGGTTTATGTTACTCCCGAGTGTGGCCCAGATTTATATCCTATCTTGCCTGTGGTCATTGTCCCCAGAACCTTTAACCATCACCGCTGTATACTATAGGATTATGATTCTTGTCTTGGGCTCTTCTCTTGAGCCCCAGCTGGTTGGAGTTGTAACGGTGTCAGGGTACCCCCTCTTCAGGAAGCCCCCCTTAGCGCCCTGGAAAGATACTAGGTTCTTGCACCAGCTGAATTCACTCACCATTGGTCTACATTTTAACTTGGGTTCCAACCTGGGCAAGAGAAAAGATTTCTAGACTTCCCTCCATATTGACTTCATTGACAAAAGCAGACTAGGTGACTCCAGGATGAGAAGGTCCTCATCCTGGGGAGCAAAAATCACATGTGAGTCAAAAGAGTACCCCTTTGGACTCAGCAAAGTAGGGTTTGACTAGTTCTGAGAGAAGCACTTCTATTTTCTTGCAGAGCTGATAGGCCTCTGCTACCTGTAATGGTTTATGTACATGTTGTCCTGACAGTGTTATTTTCCATTCCCACAGGCAATGTGAAGTAGTCATCCAGCCAACCAACATTTCCTGATGTTAACAGTATTACCCTTCTCAGCAAATGCCAATTCCAAGTTCCATTTAATCAGAAGCTGCATGGCTCTGTGAAATATGCTGTTGAGTGCGGACTGTGTGTTCTACTGAAGGAGTAAAACACTGACTATCCAAAGAGAAAAGGATATTTTGTTTTTATAATAACCATATATTATTGTTTTCTTCCCTTTCTATGCAACTGTAAATTAATGAACAGAGTGGTATTTGGAAATGGTAATACATTTGTCACTGATTTGTATAATGTATACAGCATTGGGAGCTTGGGTGGGGGCTTTCTAATACTCTACCTTCTTTTTAATAACCATGTCAAAAATTGCCTAAGAATTAGAAGAAAATTTTACATTTTTACATTCCTTCTGCTATTCATATTAACCTTGTACAATAACTTCATTTATTTTCTTCACTCTTTTACCATCACGTTTTGGTTATTTATAATTCATCAGCCATATGACCAAATAGATTTCCTATATTTGTTTTCATGATTTGGCCAAATTAATAAGTTCATATATTTCAGTCAACTATTATATATATATGAGGATTAGACTACAGTTCTGTGTATACCGTTTAACTTTATTTGAGATCCTACACTTACTTCTTTAGTGACCACTTGGATAACCACAATAAAAATCCTGTGGGCCTAAATGGCATTTTTATTGGGATTTTTTTTCTGTATTTTATTGCCCTGCACTATATCAGTAGGTCTTGACTTCTTTATTTATTTCATGTCCCGGTCTATATGAGAGAGGAGACTTAAAGCAGAATTATAATCTCAAAGGCCCTTTTACCAAAGGTTGCCCCATTAAGCATATTTTTATTTTGACATAGAAACAACTTTGTATACAACCTTTCCTAGGTCCCAGGTCTTGATTTTCATCAATAAATACACATCACACCTTTATGTAATTGTACTACCAGAGCATATCGTTGTATCAATTCCCTTTGAGGATATTTTTATCATTGTTATGTATTTTCAAGCCCTTTATAATACTTGAAACTCACAGTTACTTTCATTCTGAAAGAAGAGGTCAACAGATACAAATTTCATGCATATCTCATTTCACCTTTGTGAGTGAATGAACAGATGTTTTATTATCCCTAATTTGATCAACACATTTGCGAAAGATGTTTGTCAAAAGCCTATGTCACTGCTTCTATAGAAGAATGAAATTAATGCTTAGATAGTGGTACCCTGCCTATAGCTTTGAGTACATTCAATTAGGTATTTGGTTCAACTTCTAATTTAACATTTAATAGATTCAGTTTAAACATGTTATTTAATTACCAAATGTAAAGAAACCAAAAAAAAAGTCGAAATAATGTGTTTTGATTCCAGTGTCTGTGCTTTTAAAACATCTTTTGAAAGGACGTCTGCGCTTTGGGTTCTCTTTAGCTGGGATCTGGCTAGAAGGAGGCTTAAAGTTAGAAATTGCTATTCTTTTAGAATAGGTTGGGTGGGTTGGGGGGCGAGGGTGTCTATTTGCAGCATAGATATTTTGAGAAGAAAATTGTTTTATATAAGAGGAAAGCCATGATCACCTTTCTACCTCAGAGCCATCTTCATCCATTGCATTGGAAATAGCTTTATGCTGCTGTAGTCTGCAAAGTTTAGAGCTTTTATCAGGCCATATCATACCAAGAAAAGCACCTATTTAAAGAAAAAAAATCCCCGAACTCTGAACTCCGAGTTGTAGATTTGGTGTCTTCCGTGTTCTTACTTGGAGAAGTTCTGGATTAATGTTTTCTGCCTGTATTTGTCTGCAGAGTGTCCACTACTATTAAGAAACAACTCCTTAAAACACTACATTGTAACCTTCTTCTGAGTAACAATAAATAAAGAGAAATATATTGCAGTAATGACAAGAGGACATAAGTATGTAGTTCTTTTGAAGTATGTGGTAAAGAGCTAATCACAGACCGTCATCTAATCTGGTTACATGCTGTATTTTTCATCCTGATTAAAAGGAATTTTAACATGAGATGACTGATATTCCTCAGCTGTGTTCACCAATAGCATTCAAGTGTCAAATGTACCTTTATGAAAATAAAATAGCCCACATCTCGATAAATCTACATATTTCCTGCCTTTTCTTTCGTACATGCCAATATGTTCTCTTACCTTCCTTGTCTGTCTGTGTCTCTTCTCTCACATGTAGTTACATAGCTCTCCATTTCCTTTATAGATAGAAGGCTTATTGGTAGAAAAAAAATAATGTTGGATGTTAAAGAAATGTACATGAAACCTGTTGAGCCTTAAAAAAAATAAAAAACAAACCTAGACGCTATCAATTGCGTTTTAGTCAGTTACCCTTTCAAATCCACTTTTAGCCTCATGCTCTTAAATACTATGTTTTTTATATGTGCATTGGATTTTAGCCACTCTGGTTGATAGTAGGTTTAATCCATTTCTGAAACCATCCAGTGGGAAACAGCGTTGAAAATAATGTTACTTGATTCTAAAATAAATAGCTATTCATGAAATAGAAAAAAATCCCCAAAATATAATTTGTTAAAATAAAGGAAACTGATACATTTTGATGGCTGCACATTTTAAACATTCTGTCTACCTCAAAGTAATGTTCACATTAAGCATTCTTAAGGAAATAATTTGTTGAATTGGCAGTTGGAAGTGAGAACAAATGGAAAAGTTTTTATAGTTAAGCCTTCAGCTTATTACTTCTCTATATCATTCATATGTATAATATATGTGCATATATTGTGTGTATATACAATACATAGTATATATAGTGCATGTATATACTACATGTGCATGTACAGTGTGTATATACACTATATATGTTTTTTTTTTTTTCTTTTTTTTTTTTTTTT